CTAAAAGCTTTTCCACTAAGATCAGGAACAACACAAGCTTGTCCACTTCCACCACTGCCATTCAATATAGTATTGGAAGATTTAGCCACAGCAATCAGACAAGAAAATAAAATAAAGGCATCCAAATGAAAAAGGAAGAAACAAAACTGTCACTGTTTGCAGATGACATGATAGTGTACATGGAAAATCCTATAGACTATGCTACACATAATGAATGAATGTGGAAAAACAGCGGGATACAAAGTCAATATCCAGAAATCAAAGGCATTTTTGTATACCAACAATGAATCAGCAGAAGCAGGAATCAAGGAAAAAATCCCATTCGATATAGCAAAAAGAAAAATTCAATATCTGGGAATAAACCTAACCAAGGAGGTAAAAGACTTATATATAGAAAACTACAGAACACTGAAAAAAGAAATAAAGGAAGACACAAGCAAATGAAAACATATATCACCTTCATGGATTGAAAGAATTAACATCATCAAAATGTCCATAGTAACCAAAGCAATTTACAGATTCAATGCAATACCTATTAAAGTACCAATGACATATTTCACAGACATAGAACAAACACTTCAAAAATTTATATGTAACCATAAATGACCCTGAATAGCAGCTGCACTTTTGAGAAAGAAGAACAAAGTAGGAGGGATCACAATACCTGATACCAAATTGTATTACATAGCCACTGTAATCAAAACAGCCTGGTACTGGCATAAAAACAGGCACATAGATCAATAAAATAGGAGAGCCCAGAAATAAAACCAAGTCTCTATGGTCAATTAATATTTGACAAAGGGGGCAGCAACATAAAATGGAGTAAAAATAGACTCTTCAAACAATGGTGTTGTGAGAGCTGGACAGCTATGTGCAAAAAAATGAAATTTGAGCACCAACTTACACCACACACCAAAATAAATTCAAGGTGGATAAAAGACTTAAATATAAGCTATGACACCATTAAAATCCTAGAGGAGAGCATAGGCAGGAATATCTCAGATATTTCATGCAGCAACATTTTTACTGATATATCCCCTAAAGGAAGAAACATAAAGGAAAGAATAAACAAATGGGATCTCATCTAAATAGAAAGCTTCTGCATGGCTAAAAAAACAGTATTAAGACAAAAAGAGAAGCAACTGTTTGGGAAAACATATTTGCCAATAAAACCTCACACAAGGGTTTAATCTCCAAAATATACAAAGAACTTACACAACTCCACTCTAAGACAAGCAACCCAATTAAAAAATGGGCAAAGGACTTAAACAGACACTTCTCCAAAGAGGACATGCAGAGGATCCAGAGACACATGAAAAGATGCTCAATATCACTAGCTATCAGAGGGATGCAAATTAAAACCTCAATGAGATACCACTTCACACTGGTCAGAATGGCCATCATAAACAAAGCAACAAACAACAAGTGTTGGAGAGGTTGTGGGGAAAAGAGGACACTAATTCACTGCTGGTGGGATTGAAGACTGGTACAATCATTGTGGGAAACAGTATGGAATTTTCTAAGAAAACTGAAAATGGACCTGCCTTTTGACCCAGCAATTCCACTGCTAGGATTATAACCTAAGAACCCTGAAACACCAATCCAAAAGAACCTATGCACCCCAATGTTCATAGCAGCACCATTTAAAATATCCAAGAGCTGGAAGCAACCTAGGTGCCCATCAGTAAATGAATGGATCCAAAAACTATGGAACATTTACACATTGGAATTCTATGCAGCTGAAAGAAGGAGCTCCTACCCTTTCCAACAGCATGGATGGAAGAGGAAAGCATTATGCTGAGTGAAATAAGCCAGGCAATGAAAGACAAATAGCATATGATCTCAACTTTAACAGGAACCTAAACATCAAGACAAACAAACGAGCAAAATATAAGCAAAGACACTGAAATAGAGAACAGGCTGACAGACCCCAGAGGGGAAAGGAAAGGGGATTTCAGGGGAAAAGGGTAAGGTTCTATAGGAACAAGTATAAAAGACACATAGACAAAAACTAGGGCGTGGTAGAAATGGAAGGGAGGTGGGGAGCACAGGGGGCTGGGATGGGAGTAAAAGACAGAAAACTGTACTTGAACAATAATTAAATTTTTTAATTAAATTAATAAATAAAATACAAATGAAAATGGACAATAAATGCATGAATGTATTTTAAAAACAACTGGGCTTCAGAGAAGTCAAAATCAAAATTACAATGAGACACTACTTCACATTTTTTATAATGATTTAACTGAAAAAACAGACAATGACAAGTGTCAAATAGGATGTGAAGAAATTAGAACACTCATATATTATTGATATGAATGTAAAATGGTGCAATTTGCCAGTTTCTCAAAATGTTAAACACAGAGTTACCATAACTCAGAAAATTCACTCCTGTACTCAAGAAAACTGAAAACATGTCCACACAAAAACTTGTACACACCCTGGTTGGTGTGGCTCAGTGGACTGAGTGCTGATCTGAGAAACAAAGGGTTGTAGGTTCCATTCCCAGTCAGGGCACATGCCTAGGTTGTGAACCAGGTCCCCAGTAGGGCGCATTCAACAGGCAACTACACATTGATGTTTCTTTCCCTCTCTTTCTCCTTCCCTTATCCTCTCTCTCTAAAAGTAAATAAAGACAATCTTTAAAAAAAATCTTGTACACAAATATTTATTGCAGCATTATTCATAATAGCCAAAAAGTAGAAAGAACAAAAATATCTATCAATGGTCAGATGGATAAACAGAACATAGTATACCCATAAAATGGAATATTATAAACTAATAAAAGAGTGACGTACTGAAATGTAATACAACCTGTATCCATTTTTGTGGGGTAAGAGATGGAGAGACCATGTGTGGAGTTTGACGTTGAGGAGGATAGGGTATGGGGGCAGCAAATGTTATAGGCCCTGGCGGGATTCCATCAATGCAAGGCAATAAATATGCAGCAGGCTGTAACCATTATAAATGCTACCAACATAACAGGGGTTCTTCACACCATTATTAGAACCACAGAACAAAGTCAGTAGGAAAATAAATAAGGAATGGGAAAGTGATCCCAAAGGCCAGGCCCAACAGCTCTAGCCACTTTTAACAACTTGCATGGGTGGGCTTGAAAGTTGGGTGGGGCAGAGCCTCAGGGAATCAACAAGGTGGAGCAAACAGTGTTAGCCAGGTTGAAGGAATCTCAGATATGGCACCTGCCTGCCTGCTCTGTGGCTTTCTGGGGAAAGGTTCAGGAAAGGAACAATGGCCTCTCCTCACCATTCTATCTGGGAGAAAGCTGTTGTCTAGCTCTTGTCTTGAAGCCAGATACTTCACTTCTTCCCTTTATGGCACTGGTGCTTTTCAAGCTGCTACCCCAGTGCTGGAGCTCAGAGGGAGCAAATCTGAATAAGTACATATGTGGGTTCTTTAAGAGGAACTGCTTGGGGCTCTGGAAGTTTCTTCCACCAACTCAGTCCCTGCTGGTTTTTGCAGCCAGAAATGGTGGGGACCCATCCTTCTGGCACTGAAATGGGGTGGGAGCCCTGGCGTTGGGCTGGAACCACTCCCTCTCAAGATCCCACACCCAAATTTTTATTCACCATACATGACTGTAGTACTAGGCCATTCCATGTATCCATCCCTCCATCCAGTCGGAATGGATGTGGTTCCTATAATTCAATATGATTTATGAAGGTTCTGAGTGATGGTTGCTCTATATTTTAGTTGTAATTTTGATGTGGTTGTGTGAGGAGGTGAGTCATGTTTACCTACACCTTGACCAGAAGTCCACACATGAGATTTTAAATGTACATGAATTGTCTCTGTCTCTGGCAGAGGAAGAAGGCAGAAGATGAAGCCAAAAGATTCCAAAAAAGAGAAACTCTTGAAGTGCTATTGCTGCTTTAAAGATGTAGGGGGTTGCATGAGAAAGAATGCAGGTGACCTTAGGAAGCTGAAGATGCCCCAAGCCCACAAACAGCAAGAAAATGTGGACCTCAGTCCTGTAAGCACAAGACACTGAATTCTGACAATAATAGAGATGAACTTGGACAAAGGCCCTGAGTTCCAGATAAGAACTCAGCCAGCCAACACCTTGGCTTGTGATATCCTAAACAGTTGAAACTGCCTGAACTTCTAACCTACAGATCTAAGTAAATATACAGGTGCTATGATCATTTGTTACCCAGCACTAAACTAACATACCTTTAAAATGTTCCACTGATCATAACCTACTTAAGATTGTTGCCCATATTTTACCCTAAAGAATAAAGATACTGTACAAGCACTCCAATGTCCAAAGCCTCTAACCCTAACCCTCTTTTTGAACTTGCCTCTCTTGAAGTGGAGTTCAAAAATAGGATTATCCAATAAAAAGAATATGAATGTTTTAATGGCTTTGATTCATAATATTAGATTGCTTCCTAACACAATTATGTCCATTCAAATGCTATCTCAAAAAGTTTTCCCAAAGAGTCCTGGCTGGGTGCCTCAGCTGGTTGGAGCATCATCTGGTACAACAAAAGGTTGCAAGGTCGATCCACCATACTACCACACATTAAGTTAAAAAATGGGTGTCTGTCTCTCACATCGGTCTTTCTCTCTTTTTAGAATGAATAAAAAATATCATTAAGGGATTAAGAAAAAAGTTAACTCAAAGATACTTTTTTTAATCTTCGATACCAAACAAATTACATATCACATGACTAACTATATCTTATTTTAACCTGAGGACACCTCAGTTGTGATACCCAAATGTCCTACAATTTGACCTTCCAAGCTTGGTCACCTTTGCCTTGGGTGGGAACAAATCCACAATACTAATCATTCATTCTCTAAACCTAATAGACAGTAAGGATGTAATCTTAAATGAACATCATTGAAAATTTGAAGACAATATAAGAGAAATAGAATGCAAGAAAGATACTCTTAAAATGGACTGCAAATCCAGGCACTCTGGTTCTAAAATCCCCGTCTCAACCCAGAGCAGGCATACACCCAGGAAATATAACTTCTCACTGCCTGGCTGCCTTTGAATTTTGGTGCAGCTGAAGGGGCCTCACACTCACTGTGTCACTCACAGCACAGAGGTAAGAGGCAGAGTCTTTCACCTGCAGCTCCTTCAGAAGAAGGTAACTGTATGTATCAGAGCGACTAAGGAACGAGGAAAAATGACCTCTTCTTGCCAAACCATCCAGAACATGGTAACAGAGAAATGTGGGTGTTCCGCCGTCACGTTGTTGGTACCAGAACAGCCCTTTGAACGCAGTCGTCTGGTAGCTGCAGTTGACCTGGACAGAGGCTCCTTCCATTGCTGTCACCTCAGGGGGCTGCTGAACGCTTTGTCCCTCTGTGCCTATGACAAGACTCATGACAGTTACCCAGGCAGCACTCCTGGAAGCTACATCAGTATTTAAAAGGTTTGTTTCCATATAGTCACAAAAAACTGTCTTTGGTAGACAAGTTCCTTAGACGGAAACAAACTGGGCTAAAAAAGAGCAGGAAAAGGACAAGGACAGTGATGAGGACCAAGACAGCACCACACAAGGAAAATGTATATGAGGAAAGGTTCCTTTACTAAAAATGTGAGAAGTGGCAACCATTTAATTAAGCAGTAAGAAAGTGATTTTGAAAATTCCCAAGTATGTTGCCTACTTAACTTGAGACTTACCTCCCACTGTCAGAAAAACATAAAGAAGGAAAACTCCCCACATTGGAGGCAGGACACCATGAGCCAGACACTGCATCCTGCTCCTGAGCCACCGGAGCCAGCATGTCACTCCCCCCTTCCTGTGGGTGAGGGACAAAGTTCAATCTGGAGGCAAACCCCAGAACACACACAAGGGGAGGAGCTGCTTTCCTGAGTGGGTGACTTTGAGCTGCCCCCTAAGCTGCTCTTGAATAAGCTGCTTCCCTTATTCAAGTGTATTTACATGCATATTTTACAGATGAATCCACAGGTTTTAGTCCAAGTGATCCAGTGAACAACAGAATTGTGTGCAAAGAACAGAGATGACAAATGAGAAAATGACATAAAACAAGGGCAGATGTGATCAATTTCTCTATAATGTGTTTCCCTTTCTACATACATTGTGGAAGGGGTCAGCTAGTGATGATACTGGTGATTTTTGCGACATTACTGAAGAGATGGGAAAGGTTTTCTACCACCTAAATGTATCTCCTAATAGTCAATGAGATTGTTTTATAATCTTTTAAAGATTTTATTCATTTATTTTTAGAGAGAGGGGAGGGATGGGGAAAGACAGGGAGAGAAACATCAATGTGTGGTTGCCTCTTGTGTGCCCCTTACTGGGGACCTGGCCCACAACCAAGGCATGTGCTCTGACTGGGAATCAAACCTGAAACGGTTTTGTACACAGGCTCGCACTCAATCCACTGAGCCACACCAGCCACAGCAATATATTATTTAAATATCTAAAGAAATACAATATATATCTATAAATATAGAGAAAGGAATGTGAAACAGCAAAGGAAACTGTTAACTCTAGTTACTTCAGAAGGTTGAGATTTAAAGAAAATGGGAAAATGTTAACCTTTTTTCACATCTCTGTTTCATTTGACTTGTCACTTTATATACAAGCAAATGAGAACTTGAAAAAGGGAAATCGGAATAAAGGAAGGAGAGGCAAAATCTATAAGGAAAGGAAAGAAGGAAGGGGCTATAATTCAAACTATTCCCAATTATCACAAAAGGAAATGATCTCTTTCACACTTGCTTTTCGCAAGCTAACGTACCCCTCACCTACAGTATTTTTGCTACAGGAATTTATATACCTCATGGGCCCTCTGGATTGACTCTATTTGCTCCATACAGCACACACAGTATAGTACTTGGTTGTAACACAGATAATACTTCCATCTTGTGGCCAAATGTAGCACTGCAAGGTTACACACACACACACACACACACACACACACACACACACACACACACAAATACTAATCATCCTCCCTAGTAATTGTGAATTAAAAGGAATCTTAAGAACCATGCAGTCTTTTTCCAGTTCCATCATCTTACTGTGGAGGCTCCTGAAGCTTATATTACACTCCCGGTTTCATTTCTTCCTTCTAACCAGTTCCCCAGTATTACTCAGATTAACATTAACTTTTTTCTTTTGTCCTCACCCAAGGACATTTTGTTCACTGCTTTCCAAGAGAGAGGGAGAGAGAAAAACATCTACTGACCACTTTCTCATACACACCCTGACTGAGGATGGAACCCAAAACCTGGCTACGTGCCCTGACCAGGAATCAAACCTGCAAACTTTCATTCGACCAGATGACACTCCAACAAACTGAGCCATGATGGGCAGGGCAGACTAACATTTACTTATATTAACATAAATAAATGAATACCCAAAGCTACTGACAATGTATGTGCACACAGAAATGAGAATCAGTTTGATACCAACTCCACTCCTGGTAATGTTAAATTGAAAGTTCATATTTGAAAGCACAGCTTTTTATTTTCTGCCCACAGTGTTTGATATGTGTGGTAGTTTCTCTTACTCATTTACCCAAGTTGTTCTGGAGACCCTGCTCTGTGCCGGGCAAGGTACTAGTGTTGGGGATTCCACAGTGAGCAAACCGACCTCCTCTCCTGAAGCCTACACCCCAGTGAAGGGAAACAAGCAATAAACGAGGTTACTGCCCACAGCCTAACTTCCAGGGATCTAGTAGAATCGTTCTCTCTCCAGACAAAATAATGAGGATTTGGGTAGGGAAGATCTCATTAAGGAAATACTTCTGAGTAGAATTTCTCCTGAGATTAGAATTGTTCTTCAAATCTCTTGACAGTGGCTTCAAATCTCCTGACAGTGGCTTCAAATCTCTTGACAGTGGAGGTCTTTTTTTTTCTTTTATATTTGGAGCCACAGAGGCAACAGGTGATGAAAACAAATGTCAAATGTGACTCAAGCAATATAAAAGTCACTCTCTTCAAAGAGCCCTGAAAGGCAGACACTCTTGGAGATTCTGAATATTTATTCGCCAGGTAAACTACTAACAGAATTCTTTTTTAAAAAGGATTTTCCTTCTTTCTTCATTTATTTTTAGACAGGGGAATGGAGAAAAAAAGAGAGGGAGAGAAACATCAGTGCATGGTTGCCTCTCATGCACCCTCCACTGCAGACCTGGCCTGCAAACCCAGCTTGTGCCCTGACTGGGAATACAACTGGTGATCCTTTGGTTCTCGGGCTGGCACCCAATCCACTGAGCCACACCAGCCAGGGCCTAAAAGGATTCTAAATCCCAAACAGAAATAGGAGCCCTTCACAATAGACTAAACTGAACCTCTGAAGGACATCTCTCTCTCTGCTGGACCATCCCTTCAAGGTCAGCCACCTCCTGCACGATTTCACAGCTCTGTGTATATGAGTCTAACAGGATGGAAAAACAATCCTAAAACCAACACCTTTCAAAATGAGGTCACTAATTTTGAAGCTTTAAAAATTTCTGTTATTTGGTTCAAATGTTAATTTAACCAGTCTCTTTTATTCATCCTCTTCCTCAACTCCTTACCAAACTGCTAGAATTAAGGTTCTTCCTTCCAAATGTATAGTATTTCTTTTTTCACATTGAGCAAATGACTCCAAAAAATCTTAACACTATTTTATTTTTAGTTCCTCTTAGTTTTTTTCTCTAGCACAATGATAAAGGGCAAGATTGGGCAGTGATACAGGCATAGAGGTTGGGAAAAATATTCTTTGTTAATTCTACAACACAAGCCAAATGGGTAACCTTTTCTTTCTCCAGTGAAAAGGATACTAAGTGTTTTTCCTTATGCAAGCTCTTTTTTCAAACTTGGTAGAAAGGCAAGAATATCCTGTAGTGGAAAGAGATAAAATATGTCTATGCCACCACAAATTCTGTCTATTTCCCTAACTCTGCCCTACCTCCACCAGGATATCTAACAGTCAGTGAATGTGAAGGGAAAAGAATATTTCTAGCAACAGGTTTGGGTTGGGTCTTCTCCTAAGAGTCAATAGCAGTCCTATCCTAGGTTGTCTCACACAACACTGGGCCAGTCTTTATCCCTCACCTTCAGGATCTCATATCTGCTCACTGACGGTCCAGATCCCACAGTTCATTCTAGAAATCAAACGTTTCAAATGGCTGGATGTTCTTACACCACACTGGCCTGATTGGGAGGGTCCGGATGCACAGAAAGCAGCCTATTCCATGACCCCCACGGCTCTGCGGAGTTCTCTAAAAAGCACTCTTGGCAGAACCCCAACTTGTCCTCATCCTCTCAGCACCACCTTTCACCCTGTCCCCACAGCCTCTCCCTAGCACATCCGAGATAATTGCTTTCTAAACCTGTGTTGTTTATCCTCTAATGTCACTGGGCCCTTGTTTTCAGATTGTTTCTATACTGAGTTGTAACCTTGGCTATTTTTGTGAGCTTTTGTACTTAAATTCCAAATATTTCACATGATTTTACCAGCATCAAATAGTCTAAAGCTTGGGACATTTTAAAATACTTTGCCCTGACTGGGTGGCTCAGTTGATGAGAGCATCATCCATACACCAAAAGACTGTGGGGTCAGTTCTCATTCAGGGCACAAACACAGGCTGCAGGCTCAATACTTTATGCATAATCTTACTCCCGACTCTTTCTCTTTCCTATAGCCTCGCTAAAGAAATAGGAACTAGTCTTCCCATCTATCTTCAAATAAACTGTGTTCTGAAATTCTGAATCTCAGGCAGTAAAACTCTGGTATTTCTTCTATCCTTGTAGACAAAGGGCATGCTTCACATTTTCTATGGACCCTGAAGACACAGCTATACTAAGTATTATCAATACTATTAATATCTATTAAATATTAGTATAGGAATTAAGTAACCTTAGAAAATAACCAATATAAAATCTCTTGGAATTTTCTGATGGAGATTAAATTGGCAAACATAGGAATACTTATATGTTCTTTGCATTTACGCTGTTACCATTTTAATTGCTTCCTGCAAATAACCATTTAAATTGCAAAGATATTTTATAGTTAAATGACAGATGACTGTATCTCAACCCCTAGTGTGTGGATATTCAACAAAAGGAATGAAATAAGCACATTTTATTCCTCTATCTTTTTTTATCATCTGAATTAGGTATTTCAAATTCTTTTAAGGCATATATATCACACAAACTAAAGATCAAGGCCTGCATTAATCAGTGCTTTTATAATAAACAATAATAATTCATCTGTAACTCCATACCAGAAAATCCAACCTGAACCATTGGACCACATAAATCAATATAATTAATATCCTGGTGCAATAAGAAAGCATTAATGTTTATTTCATTTGTTATAATAAAACTAAACACATATTGCATAAGAATCAGATAGTCCCTTGCCAGCCAGGTGAGCCAAGAGTCTGGTGAAAAGATCAAGCAGAGAAGGAAGCATTGTGTCAG